ATCAACGCTACACATCTGCAGCCAACATACCAAGACTAGGAGTTGATGACAACTATTATTTTCAAGCATTACAGCTGAATATTTCACCTGCAATACCTTGGGAGAGGCGTTTTGGTTATTATTTCAGTATAATTACTATGGCTATTTCTAATCCAGTTATAGATACCTCCCTGGTGGGGATGGGGGTTTTTGGGCAAATGCATGGTCACCGTGACACTGGAGACGATGCTGCAGGTTATACCTGCATGATGTCCAACACAAATGTCCCAGAAGGTGGTGGAACTGAAATGGGGAGATTCTTCATTCTGAACAATCTCATTTATGTGAAGATGGTTCGCTTTAGCTTGCCCATATTCAATGGGCTCTTCTTGCATGGGGGCTCACCAATCATTCTTGGACGTGGCATTGAGTTGAAAAAAAACTTGTATCGGATCAACGCCGTTCTATATTCACCACGTTTCATGCTTTCTGGAGCTGGTCAATACTCTATCGGGTTCGCCAGTATGTTTGGACAACTCTTCAAATTGTCAACAGAGGCGACATCATTGCTGTGAGTAACAAACATTAACATCTGTCACAGAAAACTGAGAAAATCTAGCACCAATAAAGGGACGATAACAAGGGAGGCTAACTTTGTCCGAGACGGTATTATCCTTATGGAACCTAAGTCATTGTTCAACTTTGTCATCCGGGGCCTACTTCAAATTTCTGCCTATATTGTTCGTCAGCTTCCATTGCCTATGGGTGTACGAATAGACCAGGCAAAGTTTACGTCTGCATTCACCATGCAAGACAATATGACAACCATCACTGCTGAACCTTGGCCTGAAGCTCCAGATGGTTCGGTCTCTGATCCCATTTTACCAGGGGAGATTGAGGTTGATGGGATGGATCCATCTGTCAAAGCAGCTCATATTCGCAAAAAAATCCACATGGAATGGATTGACCACAAAGCCAATATGGCCAGCTTTATACCATCCCAGTGGGGCCACGTTAAGGACTACACAGATACGACAAGTCAAGATACAGAAGTTGATAGGCCAAAACGTGAATGTCTTACCATTGTCAAATTGCTTCACACTTATGCTTTCTTATAGATGTGGGTGGTGGCATCAGCAGGAAAAACAAGAATGAAGGTCAAAACCGGGAGAGGGAGCTTCAACGTAAGTGATTGTTTTTACTTGGCAGATTGTTACTGAGAAAACATAGGTATCAGTGCAAGGCTTGGAAGAAAAAAACCCATAGATGGGATCACTATTGATAGCATGAGTTTATTGAATCAACATCTTCATCAAGGTAAGTAATGTGAGGG